ACCTGAGAAATGAGAAATCTTAGGAAAGTGCTGAATGGCAGAGGTGGTATACTGGGTATGAATCTCTTCCTTCACTCTTGCCTTACTATCCTCACCTTCCTTATTTTCATCATCTGCCAAAACACGATCCTTCATCCATGACTGGAAGTCCTCAAGAGTATCAAGCTTCGGTTTGGTCTTCATTGCCTTGAAATGTGCAACCAACTTAGCCACTTCCTGCTCTGTCATCTCGTCCTTGTCCGCCATGATGTATGGAATTATTGTACAGAGTGCAAAGAACCAAGCGATGAACGTCAACAATCACAAAAGTAAAGCATTTGTTGTAAACAAGAATAGGGGAAAAAACACAAGTCCAATAAAGTAACAGTTTATACTGAAATAAACAGAAGTAAAAATAAAAATATCAAGCAAAAGACAAGCTATACAAATGTAAACATGCACAGTACTTAATACTTACCTGCGTTAATAAAGGACTGGTATCTTCAGCATCGACAGCAACAATCACTAACTATAGTGATAACATTGTTATTAAAGTAATATTGATAAACACTGTAAACACAAAAGCCCAGAGACAACACACTCGCATGCACAAAACACTCGAAGAATCTAAGATACCGAAATATATGACATTACTGTCTGCTAATATATATATAATATATAATAATATAATGACCCGAGCCTAGCTAACTACCAGTAACCACTAACTTCTAGTAACCACTGATTAGGTCTAATTAGTAACCACTGATCTGAAAGTCCAAGGGGGGGGGGATCTTATAAAAAAATTTTTTATATATTATCTTATTTCGAATTACACTGAAAAGAGACAAGAAATTAAGCCAAAATCATTATGAAAATGCAATTAGAAAATCTGATTCGATAAAAAAAAATACTGAGGAAAAAAATAATAAGTAGCAGTCAAGTCTAGGTCACAATCTCGCTATCTACCGCTATATGGAGAAAAACACAAGTGTGAATTACCACAAAGTTTATCAAAAAAATAAAAAATGAAAAGAAGAATAATATGGCAAAGTTTTACAAAAATATAAACAGAAAAGAAAATATGAAATACCAGTGATATGACAAAACCAAAATAAATTTAAACACAATCAATCAAAATCTGAAAAGAAATACAACTATGTTCAATACAATTATTTTCAATACAATTCTATTATTCAATGCAATATATCAACCAATATTCATAAACCATGTGAAAAAAAAAATGTCAATGTTCAAGCACAATCTCAATATATTTACGGACTGGCAATCAATGTCTCTAGTTCAAACAGCTTCTGCAATATCTGAATAATGTTTGTAGTCTATAAATACTATGAAATACCTTGTTCTTGAGCTGGAAACGCCAAACACACAATATGACATCAGTGTTGTCTTTCCTTTAGTTTTAATGTTCAAGCTACATTTTGTCTTTCCCTTTAGATTTGATGTTTTCCTGTTCATGTTGTCTATCATTCAGTTTTGATTTCTTGTGAAACGCCAAAAGTCGAATATACATTTCCATAGAAATTCCCAAACACACAATATGACACCATCTTGGAATGTCTGAATCACTGATGTGTTTGAATCAGGTATGGAAGCACATCTCCACAAGAATGATGAAAATTGGATCTCTATCCGACGAACGCTTGAATCACTGACCTTGACCCGATCAGCTGATAGCTATATATAGACACACGCGTAAACACTCATCACGGAAACATGGCCGATGACTACTGTACTGTACTGTCGAGGGTAGTCCTCAATGGAGGCTCCATATGTAACCGGGCATCAAAATTGACCACCAAGTCGTTATTTGTCGTGAATTCTTTATTCAACATAGGTTTAAACACCTGCACTCTGTAACAAACACAAATTAAAAGACTACAATTACTCAAAGCGTATACACATTACACATATAGGTTATAAGAAAGGGAGGTAACTCGTAGATATCACTAGTTACAGTTAACACGAATATAAACTATAAATGGACACATTTAATTACATTTATCCAAGATATTAACTTTGTAAGAATTATTGTTACAATCATGCTATTTAAATTATATTAAATAGCTAACATAACATATAACATTAAACTGATTTTTCAGAGCGAAAGATCTACTTTCCTATAAATTACTTGTAAAGATCTACATCATAATGCACATAGATAAACTGGGTTTTCCTATAAATAAGTATAACATTTAATCATAAAAGAGGTAATCACCTGTGTATGGCACAGAGCCGTTTCAACCTCATTCAATACTTATCACCGGTACTCCATGCTTTCTTCCCTTTCGCTTACATGATAACGTCTAAAATGCATAAAAACCTTTCTTACTCATAATACTCTGGATATAATATACAGAAGATAATGGACTAATTTAACCATTACTCATTTATATTTAAGTTGAAGCGAATACAAAATACTACTTTACACAATGTAAAATTACAACTCACAATGAAGATTTTGAATAGAGAATAATTTAATTTAAATGCCAAACTAATAAAGTCTACAGCTAACCCATACTGAACAAGATAGCTAGATACAATAGATTGAACTCATACTACTTAAAACATAACTTACCTACAAATTCCCTGTCTGTCTTACAGTCCCTTTGTCATGAAATGTCTTGATGAAAAATAGGTCTTTTCAGTTTGGCAGGCAAGAGAGTACTGATCTTCCTTACAAAGAGATTCCCGCCAAACTGACCAAAGGGAATTATACTAGTTTGACCAATAGAAAAATGGACAGATATCACATGTACGCCATGTGATATATAAAAATAGAACAATACAGGTAAGGTGATATATATAAAAATAGAACTACAGGTAAGTAATCAAATAATCACTCCCTGTAACCTATAACACACACATAGCTCTTTTACACACTCTAAACAATTTGGGCACAAACAAATAGACATGTATACATACAAATTATATAAAACAAGATAGTAATCACCCTATTACACAAAGTCTTTAGCCATACACTGGCTTAGGTCATTCACCCCAGCAGACTTTGGATCATTGCCATGCAAAACTAGGAGATTTCTGATGACATATAATTTCATGTATGTCTTTTCAACAAAAGCCATCATTTTCATCATCGTCATCCAACCACCTACATTCATCAATTCATTTTCATCTACCAATTTATAAAGTAAGATTTTTTTTTTAGAAAGACTTGTAAGCAATATGAATTTGTTTTGCACAGTACAGTAATAGTTAGTACATATAGGCCAATGGCTTCATTAGTTCCATCTTATATACAGTACTAAAATATATGCTTTACTGATCGAGCCAAAGTTGTATACAAACAAATCAAGAAAAGATAACATTCCAGTTAAATCTTACATCATGACATGGCAGTACTATATATATATATATACACAAAGGTAAGCTCAACCTAAAGATGTGTAACCAAGTTGCTTTCTTTTAGGAAAATTTAGAAAAAAATCTTAAAGTTGGTCTGATTCTGATTTCTTTGTTATATATGTATACACGTGAGTTACATGCACATGATGATGGTTGAATTAGAACATACATTCCCCAACCACAACCCCTTCCCCTAGCCTGGTTCTACTGTGTTCCCCACTCCAACGTAGCAAGTATATATACAGCTGGCCTGCATTAAGCTGGTGGCACAGTAATTAATTGCCACCTGTTAAAATGATGACAAAATTCATGGTTGCAGGATACAAGCACCTGCAGGCAGAGACGTATAATGTATTATAAGTCTCTGCTGCAGGTAAAGTTATATACATGTACATAAATGAAATAAGTTGATCGTATCAAATTAAGTTTCACAGGGAACCTCAAGTTTTAATTATACCGTAAATTGAGTTATAACTTTACCACAGTGACAGATTTAAAGATGGTTGCTAGGGCAATGTAATCACCCGCTGACACATATTTCTCTTTTCAATATGATATCTACCTGAGAACATATGAGCTATAACCACCCACTGACCATTCACCTGTGGTTACATGTGACTCTGATGGGCTGTACCTAATCTTGAACACCTTGTATGAAGGCAATTAATCCTGTCAATTAATCATGTCAATTAATCCAGCCCATTGTATGTCCAGTAGATAATATTCAATTTATTTCTGTAAGTTTTACAACTTATAGGATTTTTTCAACAAATAATTTCATATAAGTACAACATATAATTACATATTACTGGCACATTCATCACAAATCAGCAGCAACAAAAACATCATCGAAATCATAATTCATCACTTTCATCATTATCATTATCATCATCATCATCGTCGTCGTGGCCGTCGTCGTCGTCTTATAACTCATCATCATGAAATAATCATCTCTTTAAATCAACATCAAATACTACATCATCATCCGTCAAAGTACAACAACATGAAATAATTACCATTTTAACATGAATTTCATAAAACTGGTATATTTTTCACAAATCAACGATATTATTAAAATCATTACCACTTTCATCATCATCATCATCACTATCATCATCATCAAAATATCAACATCATCGAAAACATCTATATCATCATCATCATCATCATCATCATCATCATCATCATCATCATCATCAACAACAACAAAAAACAACAACATTGAGCATTTACCATGAAAGATTGTACGAACAAAACATGGACATGATACGATTGAGTAATACAAAATTAGGTAAAACAAACTTATAAGTTAAACAATCCTTCGTTTGTTAGCTTCAATAATAAATTTACCTAACAAATTCAGTTCTTTTACATTGTGTGTATTTACTAATTCGATAAGTTTGAATACCGATGTTTTTTGCCAGTAATATTTTTTAATATAATTTCTCCTTAGATCTAGATGATGTGGGGATGTAAATAAAAAATGAAATTCATCTTCTATCTCTATTAGGTCACAGTTACTGCAATATATATTATTCCTTGCAACATTCCTGTATCTTCCCGTTTCTATTGCAAGATTGTGAGCTGACATACGTAATTTGGTAATCATGATTCGACGTTGTTTTGGTATAAACTTTGTTAAATAATATTGCAACATCACGGTATCTACCATGTATCTATAGAGATCACATTTACTTGAGATGGCCAACGAGTTGAATAAAGTTTGTTTTGCTGGATCATCTATGCGCTGTTTAATAATAGGTAGTAGACAGATGTCGGTAGCTGCCTGCCTTAACCATATATATCCAAACCCTAGTTCTAATAATTTATGCTTTATGAATAAT